TATATATATATATATAATTTCAAATTTAATCCAAAGCTCACATGTTAGCTGTGGCCTGTTACTATCATTCTAGAACTTTATGATAGATTAGAAGAAGAAAAAAATACTTCCAACCCTGGACATTTGAAACATGTGACTACCCAAATAGTATCTAGATTTCCTCCACATCCCTTCACCTAATTTTTTTAAATAACAATATTCTCTCTAGCTTCGATGTTCAAAGATTGCCCTTAAAATCATCGGTATATGGCACTAAAGAAATTATCACCAACAGTAACTAGATAAGGTGCCCAGTGAGGCAATGTACCTCCATGGTGCCCAGTGCAGTGAGGTACCACAAGGCAACACCGCAACATTTACCTTGCTCCTAGAGTACAAACATACAGGATACCAAAAGGTGGCAAAGATGCCTGAAGAATCAAGAGAAGGGACAAAATGGAGATCAATTTCATTGTTGGAAGTGTTCTAGTACCTCTTCCCTCCCTCCTGTATGCCGCATAGGGATGCAAAGAATATCCGTATACGTTAGGATACTATTAGAAGAGAGTAGAAAAGAGTATTAGTTTAGTAGTTTAGTCCTACATTGCTTATGAGATTAACTTGTAATTAGTCCATCACTATAAATAGTAAAGTATAGAGTGAGGGGAGTAATCTCTCCAATAATATCTTTTCTCTCCAAATATCAACATGGTATCAGAGCAAGGTTCCTAACCCTAACCCTAATTCCTAAACCCTAGCCGCCAAAACAACCTTAACCCTAATCCCTAATCCCTCTTCTAACCCTAACCCTAATCCCTAATCCCTCATCCGACTCCTCCAAATCCGACTCCTCCCTCTATCCTCCATATCCGACTCCTCCAAATCCGACTCTTCCCTCTCTCCTCCAGATCTAACTCCTTCCTCTTCTAGCAGACCTGTTCCTTCTCCTAAACCCTAAACCCTAATTTTCGTCACTGCCTGCTTTGTCTGCCACCGCTGCCGCTTGCTTTGTTCGCTGCCGCTTGCTGCTTGCTTTGTTCGTCGCGACTTGCTTCCTTGACAACTTGGATATCTTACATTGCTCGGTGTTTCCTCGAGTTCAAACTTGGATTTGATCTTGAGAAGAGTATTTATCTTACATTGCTAAGATATTCACTTCAGTTCTTGTTTCCACATCGAAACATCAACGTCAAACCTTTTTCACGTCCGACTCGGATCGTTGAATCGGTGGTCCACAAAGGAAACTCCAGATCCAGATCTACTTTGTTTTCGGATTTGACTTAGATCTGCAATTTGTTCTCTAAAAAAAATACCCTTTGAGTTCTTGAACTTTAACCTTCGTGTTTCATGTTTACCTTCGGGTTCTTGCATTTTAACCTTCGGGTTCTTGTATGTTAACCTTCGGGTTCCTGCATTGTTAACCTTCGGGTTCCTGCATTGCTAACCTTCGGGTTCTTGGACTTGTTCAGCCTACTGGCTAATTTAAGAATTATTATCTTGAACTTGAACTTACTTTGATTGTGAAGTACAACTTGTGGAGGGTATCGTCTTGATCTCTACTCGTCTGTTTCATGATGGTCGTATCTGAGAAACTTAAGAATTCTGAGTTAACGGTCCAAACGAAAGTTTCAGAGATATTTACTGGTAAAATCACTGACCGGACACTTGATGGAATGAACTATTTCCAATGGAAGCGTGTTATTAAAATCTACGTGACAGGCCAAAGTAAAATTGGTCATTTGTTGACGGACCCTCCTACTTCGACACCGGAGTCTTGGACATTAGATGATAGTGTCCTCTTACATCAGATTCTTAATACTATGAAACCAAAAATTCAGGATTTAGTCCTCCATTGTATGACAATGAAGGAACTTTAGTGTTTCTTGCAAGATTTCTATAAGGATAGCAGTAATATTAATCGAGCATATGAAGTTATTCAATAGCTGTTTCGTAAAAAACAGGATGTAAACTCATAGATGATTATTATGGTGAGTTCAATCGTCTGCCTGAGAAACTTCGTCAGATTTTTCCTATTACTAGGGATGTAAAACAAATGCAAAACTAATGGAACAGATTTATGATACTCACCTACTTAGGTACCCTAGATTCCATTTACTTTTCTGTTCGACCACAAATCATGGGGAAGTCCGCCATTTGTTCTCTAACTAAGACTAATCACTTTCTGAAGAACGTTGTTCCTACAAAGTCACCAACATCAACTGCAGATCGCTCTACGCGTGCCACTCAGAGTTGACAGTCTTATGAACGAGGAGGTCATAATGATTGTCCTGGAAGGGGTCGAGAAAACTTTGAAGGGAGAGGAGGTTACCACACTGGTCGTTCTGGGAGCCGAGATGGTCAACAAAGTGGCCAAGATGGTCAACAAGGTAGCTGAGGAGGTCCATCCCAAGGCGGACATGCTCATGGCAATGACTCAATGAAGACTTATAACTACGACCACCAGTCAGGACATCTCAAATATAATTGTTCTAAATTAAAAAAGAAAAAGATCAAGGGTGCTTACATGACTGCTCAGGACAACTTAACCTCATCTGATAATGACAGTCAACTACAGTCAATCTTTCATGATGCGGAGCTGCAGCGTTAATTTTAGTAATTTTAATTATACCAACAGTACCAGAATTCACAAACATCATCTTCCTCCTTATCCATTACTCTCAAAAACGCAGGTACCCCTTTCTCTTCACTTACATCGTCTTCGTCTAATACTTGAATTATAGATACAGGTGTCATTGATCATATGACTGGGAATCAAGGTATCTTGTCATCTTTCAGCCCTACATCTAATTCGGTTATATTAGCTGATGGTTTACGTACACATGTTCAATGTGTCGGCAACACTAATCCTACTCCTAGTGTTCCTCTCTCCTCTGTATTCTATCTGCCTAATTTTCCTTATGATCTATTATCTGTTAGTAAGATCACCAAATCTCTAAATTGTACAATAACATTCTTCCCCACACATCGTGTTTTTCAGGACCTGATCACGAAAAAAAGGATTGGGACGGGGCGTGAGCAGAACGGCCATTATAAACTGGAATTGGGCGCTAAATATTTGGCATGTATCGGTAACTTATCAGCCTTACAATACTACTGTCAGTTAGGACATCCATCTCTCTATATGCTCAAGCTGCTTCATCCCCAATTCAAATCTTTTTCCTCATTAGAGTGTGAGTCGTGTTAATTTGGAAAACATCATTGTGTGTCTTATCCTAATCAAGTCAATAAGAGGGCTGCTAAGCCATTTGATATTGTACATTCTGATGTATGGGGGGGTCATGCCCAATAACTTCTAAATTAGAGTTTTAGTATTTTGTGAGTTTTATGGATTATCACACTCGTGTTACCTAGATTTATCTTCTCAAGTCTAGATCTAAAGTCTTTTCCATATTTAAATTCTTTTATTTTGAAATAGTTAATCAATTCAAGTCTTCTATAAAAAAATTCAATCTGATAATACAAAAAGAATATTTAGATCTAGTTTTTTTGAACATGGGATTCTCCATCAGTCTTCTTGTATTTACACTCAGCAAAATGGAGTTGTTGAACGTAAGAATAGACATCTCCTTGATATGACTCGGACCTTCTTGTTCCATTGTCACGTTTCCAAAAAATTTTAGGGGGAAGCTATCTTAAGTTAACAGCATGTTACTTCATTAATCGAATGTCTTCTTCCGTTCTGCAAGATAAAATTCCTTTCAAGATTCTATACCTCAACGATGATCTCTTTCCGCTACCTCCAACGATTTTTGGCTCTCTATGCTTTGTTCATAATCATAATCCAAATAAACAAAAAATTAACTCTCGGTCTCAAAGGCATTTTTCTTGGCTATTCCCGAAAGCATAAATGTTACAAGTGTTTCTGTCCATCACTCAATCGTCTTGTGCTCTCTGCTGATGTAACCTTCTTCGAAGATAAACCTGGTCATTCTAGTTCTCTATCTCCATTATCACTGGATGAGTATGACTATTTGATCTTACAAGAGTGACTGGTTACCGATGGTGGTTCATCTGCTGACAATATTATTTGCACTATTAGCAAATACTCAGTACAGTATAACGACCCAATTTAAGTTTATCATCGTTGCTGTGTTCTTGCTCCTGTGCCATTGTCGGCCTCAGCACCACGTCCTCCGGCTGAAGAACCTGAATCTGTAAGTGCACATTTATCCCCTTCTGTGGACGACCTTCCTATTGCACTTCGAAAAGAGATACGAACTTGTACTCAAAATTCTATTTCTTACTTTGTCTCCTATGATCACCTATCCTCTTCCTTTCGATCTTTTGTTACTTCACTCGACTCATATTTGGTTCTCAAAAATGTGTCAGAAGCTCTATCTATTCTAGGTTGACACCAAGCGATGCAAGAAGAAATGAGGGCCTTGCGACAGAATGAGACTTGGATTTGGTTCCACTTCCACCAGGAAAGCAGTCTGTCGGCTGTAAGTGGGTGTACACTATCAAGTTAAATCCTGATAGAATTTTGGCACGACTAAAAGCCCGACTAGTTGCTAAAGGCTATTCACAGGTGTATGACTTGAGTTATGTAGATACCTTCTCTCCAATGGTAAAAATAACATCTGTTCGGATTTTTATTTCATTAGCAACGACAAATCATTGGCCGCTTCATCAATTAGACATCAAGAATGTATTTCTTAATGATATTCTAAATGAGGAGGTTTACATAGAGCAACTACTAGGATTTGTTGCTCAGGGAGAGAATACGAAGGTGTGTAAGCTAAAAAAATTACTTTATGGTCTGAAGCAGTCTCCGAGAGCCTGGTTTGGATGTTTTGCATCGATTATTCAGAAATTTGGGCTTTGTCGTGCACAGAAAGATCACTTTATCTTCTGGCGATTTTAAAATGTGAAACGAATTCTGCTCGTTATCTACGTGGATGATATTGTAATTACAAGGGATGATGCTTCTAGTATTGACAGACTGAAGAAGCATTTACAGACACATTTCCAAACTAAATATCTTGATTCCCTAAAATACTTCCTAGGCATTAAAGTCGCAAAGTCAACGAAGGGTATTCTTCTGTCACAAAAAAGTACGTCCTGAATATGCTCTCAGAGATTAGGATGTTAGGATACAGAAGCAGTGATTCTCCAATGGATGTGAACTCAAAACTACTACTATATCAGAGAGAGCTTCTGGAAGATATTAGACAGTATAGAAGATTGGTGGGGAAACTGAATTATCTGACAATAACCAGACCTGACATCACATTCGCAGTCAGTGTTATGAGTCAGTTCTTGTCCGCACCTAGGACTACTCACTTGGATGCAGTAATAAGAATTTTGAGGTACTTGAAGAAGGCTCCAATACGAGGAATTCTGTACTCAGATTAAGGACACACCAGAGTTACAGGTTTCTCTAATGTAGATTGGGTTGGATGTCCTTTTGATAGATTGACTATTGGATATTGTGTTTTTCTCGGAGGAAATCTGGTGTCATGGAAAAGTAAAAAGCAAAGTGTTGTATCTCGATTCAGTGCAGAATCAGAATACAGAGCTATGCAAATGTGACACTAGAGATGATTTGGATCATAGACCTATTGACAGAAATTGGTCGCCCTCCAGAATGTCCTATGGATCTATATAGCGACAATAAAGCAGCAATTCACATTGTTGAGAATCTCATGTTTTATGAGAGAACTAAGCACATTGAAGTCGACTGTCATGTAGTCTGCAAGAAGCTCGAGGATAAAATCATCACGGCAAAACATATACCAACAGTAGTTCACTTGGCAAACATCCTTACAAAACTATTTGGTCGAACACGGGTTGAGTTTATTTGTGACAAGCTGGGCATGCATGATATATATGTTCCAGCTTGAGGGGGAGTGTTAGAAGAGAGTAGAAAAGAGTATTAGTTTAGTAGTTTAGTCTCACATTGCTTGTGAGACTAACTTGTAATTAGGTCATCATTATAAATAGTAAAGTATAGAGTGAGGGGAGTAATCTCTCCAGTAATCTCTTTTCTCTCCAAATATCAACAGATACAAATATGGAAACTAAATATCTATATCCAATAGGATATAGATACAAATATAGAGTGAAATATCAGGATCCGTACATATATTGATTAAACAGTTGCAATTATTTGACCCTTAGATTAATGGATTTGAGGTAAATTTTGATGATTCAAAGATCTAATCCTAGCCTTTTAGATCTGAACATATTAATGGACTCTCCTATATCATTTACTCCAAACATTTGGGGTAAAAGATTTGTTGTTGTTTTCCTCTTGTTATTTTCCTCATATCCATTTTCAGTCCGTATATATGTTCTCTTCTTTGATCTGTATCTATATCCAATTTTGGAGGATATGGATATTGGTTTTTCTTACCAAGACATACCTATATTTGCATCTGTATCTGTGATTTGTAAGCAGATATGACAATATCATATTTTATCCGTATGAGATCCATTTGCACCCCTAATGCCACACCTTCTCCTCCAAGAGTGCTACCTCCATTGCTAACCTCTAGCATTAATTAAGCATTTCGGCGGCCAAAATAAGTCAACGCTGCTTTAGGATTGTTCATGGTAATAGTCTTCCCCATCTTAATAAATTTACTTACAGCATACACTTTAACAATATTTACTCTCCTCGCACGTCATTCTGCCTCTTTTTTTCACTGATTGTGTCATCTATTCTTCCTTGTGTGTTATTTACTATTGTTTGTAATCTATGTTGCATTTATAAACTGTTGCCTCCACTATCCTCGAACCATATAAAATGGTGTTTCCTTGATGCGAGTTTCACTTTAAAACTCTTCTACTATCAATAGAATATTAAACAACAGCTGAAATTTTAGAATGCTCAGAATTTAGTGCATGACTGCATGTAAAACAGATAAAGCACAGAGGATCAGGAGAAACAAAGAACTAGGTATTGTCTTCTAAGCATCAAGAAGAAATTCAGGCTAATGAAATCAAAGAATAATTATATTTAGAAAGGAAATAACTTTCAGGCTGACCAAAAATTCTTCTTGTGCAACTAGAGTCTAATTAGTATAAACTTGAAGCTGCTTCTATTTAGATGTGGTCAAAAAAAAAAAAGACTTCGCCAAAGAATGTATCTTGCATAATACGCTAATCTAGTAAAACTAACGATTTGGAAAGAGATAATGAAGAGAAATATTTTGAAATGATAAGAAAAGGCTCAAAAATGCATTTTAACATTTCTTCGCTATATGAACTCCTTACCCATATGTCGAGAGGAACTGAGCCAATTTTAAATAATGTTTCTATAAGAAAACGTGAAAAGTTCCATGGTCTAATGTTCACAAGAGAACCATTAACATCTAGACATGGAGTTGAAAATTGATACAATAGTATGGATGTTTTAACTGCTGAACAAAATAAGACGTAGAAGGCAAAACCTGTAGAAGGCTCATCAAGAATCACTATGGGAGGATTGCCAATCATTGCGACAGAAACGGATAACTTGCGTTTGTTACCCCCACTAAGTGAATATGATGGCTTATCTGCATGCCTCCATAAATCGAACTCTGTCAACTTCTCATCAACAACCTACCACAAAATGAAACATAGGGTTTATAAAGCCAAAGGATTGAATAGATGGGATAGTATCAGTCGATAGGATAAAATGTTTCCCCTACATTATTTAAATTAATCTCAGGTACACCCTTTATTCGTGCATATAGTTGAAGATGTTCACGAACAGTCAAAAATTCTAGAAGAGCATCAAACTGTGGACAGTAACCAATCTGTACAAGAAAGGAAAACAAATCATGGGTGTCTACAGTTAGAAAAAGATGGTCATATATTATACAAAAAATACATGAAACATGTTAATGAAGATTACATGTTGACGGACAGCCTTGGGATGCAACCGCAAGTCATTACCAAAAATATATGCAGTTCCATCTGTCGGGCACTGTTCCCCTGAAGGATATAAATGTAGCAGCATTAAATTAAACAAAAAACATCTAACATATTTAAGGAAGGAAAATTTGAAAACCGAATTCAGATAATTGAACCCACAATTTCCCATTAATTACAACTATTTTGAAGTTCTGTTTCTGCCTAACATTCTCCTAAGGAGTGAACGAGTAAGAGACAGAACCATTTCCTACTACGCCATTGTTCTTTGCATCCAGGATCGTTTTTGAGTCCTTATTGTTTTGCCATAGTAATGACGAACTTAATAAGATATATTCAAGATGAAGCCTCACAGTGTATGTTATTTGTTGAGTGATGGCATTAGCTGAAACGACTATGATGAGAAGATTTAGAATTAGTATAAGAATCTAAAAGATCCAGAATTTGTAGACACAATACGTATTGAATCTAATTATAATAAGCTGCGAAAAGAAATGAGCGTACAGTACATATTAGCAGTCAAGAAATACTTAGGAGTAATCACTTTTAATTTTAGTATAAATCATTCATCGACATGGTGAAATTGACAATGACGAGGTTTATAGAACTAAAGTAGGATGACTAAAACGGAGGACTGCTTCTGATGTTCTATGTGATTATAGAGTACCTATGAAAAACATTCTATGACAGCTAGAAGACCAATAGTGCTTTACGTATCAGGCTGTTGGGTAATTAAGAAACAACTGTGCAAAAGATCAGCACAACAGAATTGAAAATGAAATGGTGGATGTGTGGATACACACTAGAAGACAGTACAAGAAACGAGTGCATGCATAAGAAGGTATAGATTGCTCCCATCAAGGGAAAAATGAGAGAATTTATTGAGATAGTTCGGCCTCATGCAATGGAGACCGCAAAATGCAACAGCTAGGATAATTGATAAGATTATAGTTGAAGGGGGCGAGGAGTACTAGATGTAGACATAGGAGAATTTGGATGAAAACAATTAATAAGGATGTTAATGGTTAAACTTAATTGAAGATATAGCCTTAACAAGACTAGATGGAAGAATACGATTCGATCCTGAACAATCGGAAATAAAGACTTTGTTGGTGTTGTCGCACCATACAGGGAAGGGTGTTAGCATGCTGGCTAGATGAAAAAAGATGTGATAAGCTATGCACACTGAACCCATTACATTCCTGTAGTTGGAGGCCACCTATAAAACCTATTTCATAATAAACAAATTTATTATTTCATTTAACTTTAACTATGCCTACATATTATAACTCAACTCTCTAAAGTAGACTCCAATTTGCTTTTACTATACTGTTATGTGCATTATAGAAATATTATTCAGGGGAAAAAAATTCATAGTAGCATTGAAGATCTGCTAGAACTTGTCAGGATAGAGTGGGCATAAAAAACAACAGAAATACAAATAAGATTCATCCCAACATAAATTTGTTATCATAGTGAGCATGTACCGGTCAGCATTGACAATGTTGTCGTCTTTCCAGCCCCATTTGTTCCTAGAAAACCAAAGCACTCTCCTTCCTGAACAGCAAAAGTCAAGGAGCGAACTGCAACCTTTGCAGCATGACTCCCTTGTGCAGGATAAACCTGGATATTAAAACATATAACAGACAGCTGAATTTGGTCAACTATGTCAACTTTATGCCGGTATCCTATGCAGTAACAACCGTCCCAAGAAAGGATCAACACTAGTGAAATAATACTAGTTAATCAAAAAGAACATCTCAAATTAGAAAAACCACAAAAAATGAACAAAGACAATATAGTCCTGTATCTTATCAAGAAAAACATAGCAAAAAAATGCTGAAGACTATATGGGAGTAGACATTAAAAAGAAAGAGAGAAAAACAATTCCAGTGCAAGAAAGAAGCACAAACGAGTTTTTCCACCTCAAAAAACTCCCTCAAAAAGGAGTTGGTGGGGGTCCACCACCAGAACAAGACATAGTCAGATATCTAAAAAAACAAATCCTAACAAATATGAGATGTCTCAACTTCTTGACATCACAATCACCTACTGCAATGATAAGCAAGCAAGGTAAGTTGAATTAACAGATGAAACAGCACTCGGCAGAAACAAAGAATAAAAGGTAACTGTGTAGCTGGCACAAAATTATATGATAAATGCATTTCGCTGTAAGTGCCCAGCTGACGTTGGGGTATAAACACAAATCTCTCCAGTAATGGCCTCTTCTAAATAATGTTTAAAAAAATGGACTAGTCATTCAGGATTCCGCAGTTGTAAATAGACTAGAGCGACAATTCAAATAGATCTATAAGTACCTTCCGCAGATTATACAAGTATAGTATGGCATTATCAGCATATCCACTGATTACCCTATGCCTTTCTGCTACAACATCTACATCCTCGTCAGCTACCGAGTTTGATACACCATCAGATGATCCCAGTAAAGGCTGAAAATAACTCTGAGATATGTCGGGCTGAAAAGAAATAAGACGATCCCACCATGTTCCGATTCCAGAGAACTTTAGCTTGTAATGCGGAACATACTCAAGCCCAATTGTAAGAAGAAAATATGCTATACTCTGTTTTAAGCAAACAAAAACATAATCATAAATAGCTAACACTTCGCCAAATTTAAATAACAAAAAAGAAAGAAAATTTAAATAAAAATCAACATTGTGCACAAGCCTGTTCTCGAACTATGCTCAATGTGAGGATGGCAAGGACTACAAGGGTCACCAAAACTTAGGAGCTTTAATAAAATGGCATGGAGATACAATGCACACACCAATGTACATAGATAAAAGGGTATCTGACTTGGTTGTTTCACATTAAATTGCATCTCAAACATTCAAAAGCAAAAATTCACACAATTGGATGATGTACAGTATCTGTCTGTGTAGAAACAACGAATAAAAAGTATCAAAATTGAAAGGTATTTAGAAACAACGAATAAAAAGTATCAAAATTGAAAGGTATTTGATTCACCTGATAATAATTTCTTGTAGGGTCCTATAAATGGCTTTAATGAAATATTATATGGACTCTAAACATGCAAGTGATCATGCTTTAGGATAAAAAATTCTCTTCCAATTTTGCTGCAACTGTATCACAGCAAGGGCAAATACGTGGTTTGTAAATTTACAAACAAACTGCCCTGGTAACCACTTTATTTCATCCCAGATGGAGTTTTTGGTTGCACTTGAGTTGTTACTTATGTGCTGTTATTTGGTTGATTGATTCCTTTTTATTTTGCACTTTTTTCTTGTCTGAATTCACTGTATGTTTAGGCAAGAGGAAATCCAATCAAACTCATATGACGAACCATGTTCCAAACGTTCATTTTTTTTCTTTTTACTGCATTCATATCAACTTCTTAATCATGGGATCTTTAACTAAAAGCCTATGGTTTTCATCCAAATTCATAAATAAAGAATGCCACTACACAAAAACATTATGTATGTAGGAATGAGCCTATGAATGCCCATAAAGAATAGTCACTACTTAAAAGAACATTACTCTACATAATGGGCATTCATAGGCTCATTCCTACATTGGAATGCATAAAATTATAATGGTCGAGGAAGGAAAATGTCACAAAAACGTTAAATTCAAATTGTTATATGGCAGGATAAAAGACTTTCAGAAGATTAAATATGGAGAAAAAGGAATACTGAAAAATTATAAGTTTATTAGTTTGGGAATGTAGCTAGCTGGAAAAGATTTCTATAACTAGAAAAAATTTAAGTGAAATATCTCAACCTGTAGTGGGACAGATGAAGCAGTTATTAACATATTAGTTTATGTTTCAATAGATACCTCAACGAATAAATATGTAATAGAGACACCAGTAGCGTATATTAGCTTATGTTTCAAAAGATACCTCAACAAATAAATATGTAATAGAGGCACCAGTCACGTCCCAATCAAAAATTTCCCCGCTGGATCCCAACTTCATCCCCTGGCGCCGAAGGGCAAGAGATGCAAGTCCATCCGCAAAGCAAAATGCAGGAGATAACCTAAAAAAGTTCTGGAAAATACAAGACCATGTCAAGAGAAAAGATCAAACTGACTTTAAACCTAGAGAATTTCATCCTTATCCATTCAAGGGAAAGTTTTACCTACATGAGGATTATGAGAAGTTGCAAGTAAGTTGTTATGAAATGGAAAGTAACAACAAATGGAATACAAAACAAATTATCTGTCAGTTTCGTGCAGAACATAAGATGTCAAGATGTGACATAGGCATTCTTTCTTTACAAGAAATTTTCTTCAAGATTTATAAAGTTCAAGATGACAACCAGTTGATCTTTAGACAAAATTTCAGTAATTATTGGCTTCAGATCTAGCATCTGATGCGTCAGAATATCACATATAGAGAGGATTCAGAAACATACATAACAAATACATAAAACCTCACAGTTAGAACATTAAAAAAATGAAAATATAAGAAAGTGGAAAAGAGGGTACAATATATAAATCTAGGTAATCAGTCTGATACAAATAACTAAATATGTGAATAAAAAATCACATCTATTAGGTACTTACAAGAAAGCTTATAATGCATTAAATTTCATGTGGATCTTCTGTTGAATAGTAAAACTTTTCATGGAAAAAGACAACTGTTCAAAGCCTAAACTTATCAAAAGTCAGAGACTTGTCTACAATTGCATTCCTTCTAAACATAACGACGACAAATCACAAGGGAGCCCTTCCAAAGTCTTTAAGCTCCACCAGCCATCTAAACAAGACTCAAGGTTTTCAATAACAGTTATCGGAGAAATATCAGACAACCAAATCCATATTGGATTGCAGATGTCAGAAAAATATCAGCGGTATGAGTAAATTTCAGAGTGCCATATCGGATGATGTACATATATAATATAATGTCCTAAAATGTAACCTATACATACTTAATGAAATCTAAGCATACAAAAATGTAAATAATATATGCTTAGGATCACTAACCAATAGTGGAAAATTATATAGGGAAAAGAGCCCACAATAATTTGCCGCAACACTTAATAGGGATGCAATGTTTGCTAAAAAATCATTAAAGAACTTTTGCAGAAGTATAGTGTTTATTGACAAGCCATATAAAAGGACATATCAGCCAATATACGGTTAATAAGTCAGCCATGTTTGGGATATATCACCCAAGAATTGCCAAAAACTGGTAAAGGATATTGAGACCATATCATTTTGCCGCAAGCCTTGTAAAAGGATATATTGGCCGGATATATTGACTATATTGGGAATATTTAAAACAATGATAGGAATATCTTCATACATTTAATGAATGTAATGTTAAACAATTTATGAAACAACCTTATTTTCCTGCTACCAAATATCCTAATGGATGTCTCTAAAAAAAACCTGAAATTAAAAGAGATGCAGAAATTCCAGCATATTGTAGGATCATCAGCCATTGCCTAAAGGAAATGCTCTTCGACAATTTAGATATCTATTAACTATACCAAAGACAAATCCTTTTAAATTGATGAAGCTGTGTCCTGCAAACATGTAAGAACAAAGTTGAAGCCTGAGATGCAGCTGCTTCTTGCCAGAGAGGCGTCTAGAATTGCATCTGTAACAGTACAAATTTATTGGCCCAATTCCATCCTCCAGAATTCCCAAATATAAAGCTATATTAAACAATTGAACGGCATGGAACCATCAAGTGAACCTTGATATCTCTGAAATGGTATGGTTTCTCTTTTAGCTATTTTTGGCAGCAGTTTCAACAATTTTGGTCCGAAATATATGAGTTGTGGTATCTTTGATTTTCAGCAGTTTCAACAATTTTAGCCCGAAATTTTAAGAATAGTTTAATTGGAACGAGTAAACAATCATAGTGATCATACAACCTTTAAAGCAAATATAAGCTAGATTAAACAGCTGAACAATGCATATCTCTGACTTCGATTTATTTTGCAAAGAACACATGAAACATACCAAGTGACCTTTGATCTCTGAAATGGTCTGGTTTCTCATCACCATTTTTGGTATGGCCCGTATGGGTATGGAAATTTTTAGCAGTTTCAACAATTTTGGTCCAAAATATAGGAGTTCTGGTATCAAAGATTTCAGAACAGTTTAGTTGGAAACTGGAACCAGTAAACAATGATAGTGACCAACTGACCATACAACCTTTAAAGCAAAATTCATAAGCGTTCACTTTGTTAGAATATAACACTATAATCCTCAACCCTACCACAACTTCAGAGTTTTGGGTATCGAGATTTTTAGCAGCTTCAACAATTTTGGTCCAAAATATAGGAGTTCTGGTATTAAAGATTCCAGAACAGTTTAGTTGGAACAAGTAAACAATCATAGTGACCCTACAACCTTTAAAGCAAAATTCATAGCGTTCACTTTGTTAGAATATAACACTATAACCCTCAACCCTCACCACAACTTCAGAGTTTTGGGATTGATATTTTTAGCAGCTTCAACAATTTTGGTTCAAAATATAGGAGATCTGGTATCAAAGATTTCAGAAGAGATTAGTTGGAACAAGTAAACAATCATAATGAACCTACAACCTTTAAAGCAAAATTCGTAGGCGTTCACTTAGTTAGAATATTACACTATAACCCTCAACCCTCACCACAGCTTCAGAGTTTAAGTGTAATGGTTTGGGCCTCTAAGACACTTCATGATGAGAAACCCCAGACAGGAGCAGCAAACTTTAGCTAATGAATGTTACCCATATGTACTCACTAAATCGACCATAGGATCGATGAATCTAAAATTTGTCAGGACACTGAGACATATTAATATTTGGAAATATAATAGGCTGTATGTCCTAACATCACTAATTAGCTTGTGAACCATCTAGCATATGATAATTACTGACACTTTCTATCTTAGGGATCACTCTTGCCTTGTTTTCACTCGCTGTGACAATTAGAAAAGAGTATATTAACGGCCAATAATAGTAATCATAAAAAACACATAAAAATGAGATAAATGTACTGGTGCATGAAAAAGGTTAAATAAGCCTCTTAAGTAGAAATGTGAAAGGAAGCTGCTAAAATTAACCTTAAGCATAGAATTTAAACTTTTTGTTGCCTCAATAACTCCCATCAGAAATGAAATAACCATAAGGATGACTCCACCGAAAAAGTGCACCAGCAAAACCACATTCTGTAATTAAAGTCAAGCGGTGAGATGTTAAAAGAAACCACATTCTGCAATCAAAATCAAACACTGAAATGTAAAAGAACATTGTTAAGAGAATGAGTTCTGGCAGTGATATACCTGAGCAACAGTATGATCAGAAAAGAAAAAGGTAAGGCAATATGTTGATGCAGCAATTGCTAATCCGAAATCCAAAAATATGATGATAGTTGGAATAAAGCAACCATTTCCAATAAACTGATTCAGATCTACAAGTACATGAATTCTTGAGTTACAAAAGTAATATTATTCACACAACAGAACCCAAGACAAGTGTCAACTTCATAAAAGTCAGAGTAATGTTGATCAACAGAAAGAGAAAAGTACATAATAACGGAGCTAACAGAGTCCTATGAAGTTTAAATGCATACCGAAGATGAAAAATAGAAACACTGCGAGGACTGTAGGAAATAAGAAGCTGATGAAGTCCCATAAAAATGTTGAAATCCAATATGATAATACAGAAACCTGAGTATGTCCAACGTTAGTAGCGATTAACTAAAAAACAAACACAAAATGAAAGCAGATGGAGTTTAATACCCCACTGATCAGCTGTTGATGCTTTGCTTTGACTTCACGTTCCTACAGTATTTCAAAAGAGAAAACACTTTTAAAAGCCTATTTAGTAAGCGACAGAGACATCAAAGTACCAAAGACACTAATCATAATAGGCCAGGAAAAATGTTAACATGAATGTTCTGACATACTAAATCTTCAAACAAAAGCTGATAGAAGTATCACCTTAACAATAGCAACAGCAAATGAAGCTGGAATAAAGGAAAATGCGATGCTAACAATCACTGCAGCAGAGAATGCATCTAGATCCTGCAACAATATTCAAACAGATAATTCTTATGAAACAACAACAAATTAGAGTTATATTCATGGAACAGAGAAGTACTACAAAACATTAGCTCAAAGATAGCAGGAAAATTGCTTATAGGTAACACAAACAACAAAACAAGTTTGAAACAACAAAACAATAAAGGCTACAGGTATGCAGAAGACAGCAAAAGATTTAATTAATGCATCCATCAAAAACCACGATATCTCGACAGGACATTTTTAATATTTTTGATACCAGGACACAAACATACAGCAACAAAAATGATGAGGATTATTGGTTATATCGAACAGTTTATGAAGATATATAGTTTCCTACTTGACTAATTTTTGTTCATCAAGTAGATATTTTAACTATCCACATTGATAGCATGATTCTCATCTTTGAAAAGAGATCATAAGTTTCCATAACTGTTTTGACCTCCAATCAACATATAGCCAAAGCCCATGTTCTTGAACTCGATGCCAAAGCAAAAGAAAAGGCTAGAGCTATACACAGCGCCTGGACCCAAACCATCGCCAAAGTTTCTTGACTAGAAGGAATCTATGAGACATTTTGACTATCTAAATCATTTCGTTATTCCTAATTAACAAAGACTAGCTAGCCATCACCAAACATTGCATTTATTAGAATTCCTTCAGATTTATGTAGGTTTTTTTAGACATTTATCAAGACTTTAATACAAAAATGAATTTGCTCCTTTTTTAGGATAATAAAGGAAAACTGAACGGCCATTGATTTAAAAAATATTAAGTTTATTATTCCTATAATGGGGATTTTTAGGCATGAAATCCTATGATGAGACACTTTATCCTGTGTGAAGCCAATGCAAGTATGTGAAGTCTTGATCACATCATGTTTCTCATTAGAGCTATAAAATATTAGTGAAGATCTGTTGAGCCCATCTTTCTGACTAAATCTCAACAAAACACTAATTTCCACCATCTAGTGAAATTCAACTTTCTACCGAATCCATGTCCCCTCACTATTTTTCAAATGATCAACAAGGATATGAAAAACCTTTTTGAGATTCTTGAAATTATAATTAGCCAGACTAAAGGATTCAAGAAGTTGGACATGACTTGATCCTAGAGAAGGATAATCAAGATTAAATTACAGAATCTTTAAATGTGGGACTAAATAGACTACTCTAATTAACTACTATAAGAGTCATGCATTTTTGAAAGTGTTGGAATTCGTATGTGCATAAATTATTTGTAGATGGTTAACATAAACTTGATAAGGAAGTAACAGATTGATAGTAATTAATAAATGCCCCCAATGCAATATAAGCTGGGCTCTGTTTTCTTGATTTTATGTAACAGAAGATACATTACAAAAAATCATGCAGTTTGTCTTATTGCTGGCTCGGCAGCAAGTGCTGATAGTACTTTTCTAAAGACCCTCATTATAGAAGCTTTTTTTTAATCACATAAAGATGTGGTCAGGTCTGCATCTACACTGACAAAATACAACTCTAGACATCTTTATGGTTGGATAGAGCAGTATAGAAATTAGTGTTCAGGAGTTGTGAAGTCTAGCACTAATCAGAACATCTGAAGCTCAGAAATTAGATGCTTCTATGCATGTGCTCGCTAAAAATGTTTCTAATGAGAGAATACTACAAACTCATTGTGTCATCTTCTTTCTACTTCAGAGTCAAATCTATGTTTATAGAAAAATAGACCAAGGATAACAAGATTTATAATATAAAAGTGTGATGCGAAATAAAAGTTATAAACTTCTGCAGTTGCGTACGCTAACATAGCATAATGTCAACTACATACGTGACGTTGTGACTTCTGAGACATTGTCACGGGCAAAGGGTGATTGCGAACTTGAATCGTCATATTTGTATCACCAGTTGCATGCCTCAATATTGCAGCATTCACGACATTGATATAGGTTGGTGCAGCATGCTGACAGGAACTATTGTGAAGTACGGTAAAACCTAAACTTCCATCATCGTTTTGATCATCCATGACAACTGCGCCATACCTTCATACCAAACCAACAACATATTACATTAATAAACAGAAAGATATCCCATCAAACAGAAAAAATAAGGAACAAACCCATTTCAAGTTCAGCGCGGATTATTATCAAAGATTCGTATGCTCAAACTGTAAAACTATAAAATTACAGAGTAAGAAAAAGACAACCAGACGCTTCAGTAATAGACTATAGAAACATTCAACTGAGACGGAAACAATCATTTTTAAGTAAAGAAAACCAATGTGTTAAGGTCAACAAGAAACTCAAGTGAGGACACTTGTTTCGAATAGGAACTATTTATAGGTTAATAACAAGTGTGTTTGACCAAGCACTTGGAAATAAGAATTTAAGAAGTTCAAGAGCATTAAATGCACACCCTTTTCGACATAGCAAAATGATCAAGATGCAACTTGAAAAGGTTGCTAGTTTGCTTCATCCTTTGTGTTATCCCTTAATTTACTTTCTCCATCTATTCACTTCAATTTATTTCTTGACTTATTTTTCTACTTTTCATATCCCCCAGATTACTCATCTTTCTCTCCCCCATTCTCCTTCATCTCTCTCCTATCACAGAATTGTTACCTCCACCCTTGTTTGTCTCTATTCAGCTGCTATTGTCACTCTGTTTTTAATTTATTCGTAGCCTTCTCTTCCCTTTCCTGTGACACACTGCTTCAGGGTTTAACTTTACATTGCTCTCCTTCTTTCTTTGTCTTCTATTCTTCTGTGCATGATGGCATTTATGTAATTATATACGCACTCAGTTAATTAACATGAGGGCACCAACTCCCAAATTGGGCTTGTTAAAACCTTCAAAACTTGTGTTTGTAAATACCTGTCACAAAATACCCTGCATTTAATAGTGTAGTAGTGAGAAACGATTCGCTGTCATAATTATTGACCTTCTCATCAAAATGGTTCCACTCATGGACACAATGCTCAACTAAGGAGCAGCCAACTACACCCAACACATGGAACCACTATGGGACAGTCCACCAGTGTCCCTTCCATTTTCTTTATTGGGATCCAAGCCAATGGTCCCTTCCATATTCGGACGATAGTTTTCCACAAAATGCATTCATCTCCACAATTCACAACATTTTGTAACCCACTACAAACCTGTAAATCCTTATGTCCACCTACATCAATTTGTAAACACAACTATGAACACATCTAAATAATTTTAGCACATATATATGTATGTGCAGGAAGCACCTAAAGAACATTTGCAACAGAACAAGCATAAGTTGACAAACAGGATATTGTAGTATGAAAGTTGTAGATACAGGTTCACTTAAAAGAAATATGAACCAACACTGACTAAATTTATATAAGGTGTTGTACTCTTCTTCACACAAGGTTGAAAAATCAGGTGATGCATCCAATTAAATATAACTTTCAAATAACCAAACAATGGCTATCCATTTGCTTCATAGTGATCAGTAAAATCAGGTCTCTTTTTTATCTAACTGTTATGAGGGAATCTGGATCAGGGATGAACAGATACCTGGACTGATAAGATTCATTAAGGCTGGTAATTAGATATTCACTCATGGAAAGCAGAGTTGGACCCAGAGTTGGGCCAGCTGCATCAATAGCATCAGCAAGTGCCTTTTCAGGATTAGGAAATCTGAAAGTTCTTGGTTCCTCCTTTTGAATCCAGCCCCCCTTCACACAAGATGCAACCTGTCGGAGTGACAACCTTCTGAATTAGACATCTTTTTACTCATGCATCAAAAGTGAGTTTATAGTGTAAGAAAGACCTCTTCAGCAATGTGCAGTGATAAATTGAATGGAATTGGTCCCCCACCACCTCCTGTTAGCAAGGGGTTGAAATTTGATGTAGTAAGAGTCACAGAATGCTGATCAGGATGTGGCTTCAGTTTCAGAAAAAGTAAACCGAAAAGCAAGAAGACTGCTGGAATTAACAGCTGGAAAACAATGGTTCTTCTATCTCTCCGAGCAGATACAGCCCTTTTTATAAGAAGAGCTTTTGAATGCTTCCAAAATGTTGAGCTTGTAATCATTCCACAGCAACATAACTTAATTATAAAGAAGGCAATGAAACTGCAGATTGTAGCAAATGTTAAACCGAAAATTCTTCCCACAGCTGAAGAAATCTGCCTAAGAAACTTTCCATAAACACCAGAGCACAATATGGAAACTGATGGTTCTATAAGAGTAGTTTGAGAGATCTCAGAGGTCAGGCTATCAGATCCAGCATTGGTTATCTGATGATTATAATCTATCTCGTCTATGCTTTGTCCTGCAACTTTCAAAAACACCTCCTCAAGAGTGGTGACAGAGATTCCATAACTTTCAATACCATGAACTCCATCGTAAGTTGTGCTATATTCACCAGCCACTTCTGGTCTTCTTATGCAGCTTTCTATCTCCCGGAACATATTCTCAAATGAAGAAGATGATGAAATAGGAAGTCTAAACGAAATTTCTGTACCAACCTGAAGTAAATAGAAAATAGTTTGGAGGTTCACAACCAGAAATATTCAGATGACAGAAAGAATATGTAAACTACCAGTACCAGTACTAGCAGAAACAAAACAATTAATACACATATAACAGGAACAGTAAAGATTAAAAGAGAACACAGAATACTACAAAACTTATTTTTCCCAAAGTAACGAACTCACCCAACAACTAAAAAGTCCGAAACTTTCATCATCAAACAGTTATTATAAATTTAGGAATACGTGCAATGCACATGACATAAAAGTAGACTCGGTAAAAAATTTGAATTGTCAACGACTTAATGGAATGTAAATGATAAATGATGCACATTGCAAAGGGTTTTACTAATGAATTAATGGCATGTGCTAGTGCTTGTACTACCTAGTTTACTATTGATTCTGACAATAAAGACAAAGGAAAAAAAGGATTTTGGACACAAAAGACATCGGAAATAGACTTGGTTCTTGTTTGCAATAAGAAGCAAACAAGAGACTCATGAAATATCTAATCTTCATTGAACATTAAATAGAAGAAACCTCCTCTAGTTGACAAATCCATAAGTATGGAAAGCAAACATCAAGAGAAGCAAAGGAACATACATCAGATAAGCGGGTAGCTGTAGGAACATGACGATGAACAATATCCGCAGCTACAGATGTAGTAGGAGAAGTCTGAAATTCAAAAGCAGATGCATCAGATAAGGGGATAGAGAACCCAGATCAGTATAATGAAATAAAATACGCATGAAATATGAATAAATTCTATGAAACCAAACCTTTGTAAGTGTAAGTGTATAACCAACCCCATAGCGATGCTTCAAGAAAAGGGAACTACAGAAGCAAACAGACAGTTAATGATAAACAAAAAAGAGAAACTACACAAAGAAAATATCACTATTTATTTATTAAATCACGGGAGACCAGAAAGCACACCAAAGTTAGAATTCATTCATTAGAGACCCAAAAAAAAGAGTAATATCTCATACAAAAGACAAACTTTATATTCAATTATATTCCTTCTTTAACTAATCCTACCTTGTTTTCACAGAATGAATTCTTATCCAATTTCTTCTTCTATTTGCAAATTAAATTCATTTTACACCTGATGGATCTTAGAAAATATCCAACACCTATTATCTCATACACTTTCAAGATACCGGCGTTCTCACATGATTTTCCAGTGGCTAACTTCCACTGCTTGATATATGTTTGAAAGGCGCAGTAAAGGCTAGAGAGCTGATTATTTGTAGAGTTCAAAGCTATTGTCCAATATTTAAGCCCATTGGAAGATGTATCCATGCGTCATCCAGATTTTACAGTAATGCACTTGTATGGCCTAGTGGCTCATATAGCCAGAAGTCGTTGTGGCCACAAGTCCTTGCAATATATCATTTATGCATGTTGGAAATTGTTGATTTGTTCTAACACATCTCAAAAGAGAGACAGTGTAAGTGTAGGGCAATGCCCTTATGAGATTGGTCCTTCAAGTATCCTGTACAACTCTTGATCTGTATGCATCAAATTCTTTCAGAACTTGTGACCCTCGTTTTTTCCACAGCCAAAACAACTAGTTTTGCGCAAACATTTGATTAGTAAGTTAAAAGAGATTCAAAAACCACGTGACTTCTCACATTCTCGTAATATATTGCATACATGAATGAGCAAAGAAACAGAGAAAAAGTACAGATTTGTAGTAAAATGCAGAAATATGCACTAAACCAATAAAGAAGCAGAAACATAGAGATATAACAGTTAAAAGTTCTACGTGGAAATTTATGGATACGTAACAGCTAAAGAATAATTTTCATGATACAAGTTAGCAAATGTTATAGTATCTCTAACGTTCATCTTCCATGATTACAAATGTTACAGCATGAGAAACACTTCACTGAAAAATGGTGTATTGTTCGACAGCCTTTTATAAAGTCAGTATTATTTGCTGAAACGAAAAATACAAATATCGAATGATGATACCTTCCACAGCATCGTAAATGTCCATTACCCATGATGGCGATTCGATCTCCTAGAACATCAGCTTCATCCATGGAGTGTGTTGTCAATAATATTATCCTCCCTTTCTTAATCTTCCTTATCAATTGCCAAGTTGACCGCATTGAGTATGGATCCATGCCGCTAGTTGGCTCATCAAGAATGATAACCTGTAAACTAAAGTTCTAAGAATATTTAAAATACGCCACAGAGAAGAAAAGGGGGGGAAAATGTTAGCACCTTGCTGTTTCCAATGAGGGCTATACCAAGGGACAATTTCCTCTTCATCCCTCCTGAAAGTGCATCAACAACTGTATTCATTTTGTCTGCTAGACCCACCTGATGATCGCAGATTATATATGGAAGCAGCTATCAGAAGTTAGAACAGATATTTTTGTAGCTCCAATTTGCCAGATGATGTGATCAAATTTATCACAAAGCGACAATTACTGGTAAATAAAGAAAAGGACTTGCCAAAGAAATCTAATAGCTTATAATTTATCATGCATACGTATTATAGCTCATCCATATGCATGGAGATAAATTCTATATAACCAAAGCACTGCTTGCTTTCTTAGTAATCGATAAAACAAAAAATAAATTTAGACTGTCATTAGATGAGCAATGCACATTCAGTAGTTGACCTATTTTAAAGCTCATGCAAGGTTCTTAGAGGTGTCATGAGGATACTCACTTCTTCTACCATTTCAGTTACTGTCCTGTCAAAGCAGTGATCCTCTACACCTTTCAAAACAGCAAATATCTCCATGTGCTCCTTGACCTAATTAGCAGGGGCCAATATAACATCAACCATGAAGTTAAAAACTATAACAGAGAAAAAAACAATTATATTTGAACTCAAGAAATAGGACAGGCTACAGAGTTTAGAACAACAAGAATTCAAACATATTGATGATAAATGAACGAAAGTCTATAAGATACTCTTATTCAATACAAAAAGTACTTCCGACAAATATATGCATAGAGTTAAGTCTTGCCTAAGGAATAATCGAACATCAAATAAAGAATACAAGTACCAAGAAACCACAAAAGGACAGGATAACCTAAATAATGGTAAGCACGTCAAAGGTAAACAATGACAAAACTAGAAGCGAAGATTTTACTGCAGTAACAGGAAGCAATATTTTCAGATCTCGACATCTCTATCTATTATTACAAGCTAAGACTTAGTTGCTGAAAATTTATGTGCTCAGTTATATAGAAGAAGTTTATACCCATAAATAGACAAAGAAAGAACAGCCCATCAGCCAGCTGCATGTACACCAAACTATAGCAAAAATGCTCAGAAAGCAGAAGTGCGGAAAATGGTTAAAGCTTATGACACAAAATACTAAATACCCATCAAGTTTAGACCACTTCATCCAAAAATCACAAGAGCATATGGGAAGCCGTAACATAGATTGGCAATGAAATTGTAATACCTTTAATTTTACTATTGGTACTTATTAATTCATTATGAACTAAGATATTGAATTAAATATTATCTTGCAATAAGTATTACAGGATTGAAATAAAATCAAGAATATGCAGATATAGAAGATTGGATGGATTTTTATGCAAAAGTAGTGGACAAAATTGTTTGATAAATAATCAATTGTGGAGCTGCCATGTTTGAAAATATAGGAGAGACGCATGTCAATTGAATAAGAATGAGTTGGCATTAGTTAGATGTAGGAGTGACACGTGTCTTTTGGCCAAAGGATGAGGTGGACAGGGTATGGAAACCCTTGCTTTCTCATGTTGTTCCCTGTAACAAAACCTATAGCAAGAAACAAAGAGCAAAAGAAGGAGAAGTAGCTCTAGCTAGAAAAAGGGAAGGGGGGGAAAAGAAACAAACAAACAAAAGAGAAGTTCTTGCTCCTGATTCAACAAGAAGAGAAGTAAGAGAAAAAGAAAGAAAATGCCAAAGAAAGGATATGGAAAAGGAGTGCTGGTAATTCTACAGGTTAGCTTGATTCTTTCTATTTATGTTGAGACATGTATCCTTTTGATACTAATCCAGACTTTGATATATACTCCAGCTAAACTATAAGCATAAGCTTTGACGTTAGTAATCCATCTAATTCTAGTCTAAGCAAATATCCTGCCTACGCTAGTTCCAGTAGCTAACATCTGCTGTGGTAAGCATATTGAGATTTTAGTTCAAGCTTCTGTATGGTCCCTCGCAGCCGCAAGGCCTTTAGTTAATTTCAGTTTTGTTAATTTCAGTTTTAGTGACACCAAACCAAATTTTAGTTTGATTTCATATGGAGTATGGTTTGGGTAAATGATTCAGGAATCAGGACATGTATTGTACTATAGCAAGAGACATAGTAATGGGAAAGGATAAAAATAGTTTCAAGACAGTTCAATTCATTGACTACTATATTTTAGGGCAACCATTACAAATACTCTATGAAATCAATGCATAATGGTGCGAGAATTCATGTCTGAGTCTAGAATATCACGATATGTTAAGATCAGCTGTAGTTTTCAGAAATTACAGAAATACCCCTACAGTTTTCAGAAATTACAGAAATGACCCTGCAGTTTCTGAAATTCCAGAAATACTCCTATGACAAGTAAACTAGTTTTAGAGCTCCAAATACTACTGTAAAGTATGTAAGATGTTGAGATTCTTTTACAGGCATAAGTTCAGGTTCGCATAAGCACAAAAAGGAAATTAAACTGAAACAACGAAACACAGAGACATTCGAAGTAAGAAACAAAGGATTGGATGAAGAACAAGTTTAACCCTAGAGGTTCTAACACCATTTCAAATTACATATTAAATTACCTTAAACTACCCAAGGATGAAGGCAATATTACTTATTGTGTAAGTGTAACCTATAAACTGAATGGAGTTTAATATGTATTTGTAGTAGGAAAGCTCAATACAAGTTACAGGTGACTCCTGACGCGTCACAGAAGGACTTGGAATTTGCATAATATTGGTAAGTATGATTACATATTCATTAATTTATGATTTTCTCATCATCTGCTTACAAATGTTATCTTTTGATGCACAAGCATGAACTTCATATCCAAGTATATTTTAAGAAAGGAGAAATTTTTAAAACAGCCCTTTTTTCAATTTTATTGGGCAAAATCGACCGTCTCACAAATTAATTAGCAAAACCGACCGAAAAGGGTCGTTTTTGCAATTACGGAACTGCACGGGACTAGCAGTCCCGTGCAGTCCGCCTAACCCACCCGCTCGTCATTCTTTCGTTCTGTCTTTCGTTCATTCCGCTCGTGACCACTCTCCCCCGAAGAAAAAAAAAACCCTCGACTCGTCGACCCCCGCCGCCGACCACCGCCGCCGACCACCGCCATTTGCACGTGACCATCCGCCGCTCTCGTGACCGATCACCGCCGCCGACCACCGCCATTTGCACGGGCTAGGGTTTTTTTCGTTCATTCCTCTCGTGACCAGTCCGCCGCTCTCGTGACAGCCCTCCGACCTCGTCGCGCCGCCGACACCATCGACCCCCACCAAACCCCCATCCTCAGGTGTGTTTTTCTTTTTAATTTTGCTGTTAATTTTTGAGAGGGATATTCATCAAATTTTGCTAGAATTGAGTGAATAATGTGATTTGGGAGTTAGGGTTTAGTTTAGCAATTATTTACATATGAGAGGGTTTAGCAATTATTTTTAAGAGGGATATTCATCAAATTTTGCTAGAATTGGGGGAATAATGTTTTGGCTGTTAATTTTGCTGTTAATTTTGCTAGAATTGGGTAGGATTAGTTTTTATTTTGTGCAATAGGATGAATAATGTGATTTGGGAGTTAGGGTTTAGTAATTATTTACATATGATGAATAATAATTAGGGGTTTAGCCATTATTTGGAATTTATTCAGATATTAATAGATTATTTGCATATGATGGACTGTGTATTTTCAGTTTCGATGACGAACTCCATATCCATTATTTGTTTCTTTAATGGGAGCCTCGGCGTCGGAGTGAATAATTTGCCGGTGTATGATGGAGGTTCTCGGAAAATGTTCATGCTATCTAAGTCGTGTAATTTTGATGGAATGACTAGGGAAATACACAGAGTTACTAAAATTAAGAAAGAAGAATATACAATTAGGGTGTTCTTCAACTGTCCGATAAATGAGAGTAGAACTATTGCCGTGGAGATTACCGAAGATGAGGAATTGAATGACATGAAACAATTAGTCGAGAAGCAAGCGTCAATTGAGTTGTTTATTGAGAAGTATCCGATTCAGGAATTTGCCCAAGTTTCACGACCTCAAGGAGAGTTTTCTCGGATGCTTGACTTAGACAACGAGTCGATTGGTTTTATGACATCTCCAAGTCAAGAGCCATGGTCTCAACCACAACATTTAAGTGAGTATTCTATCGGTGGGACGTCAACTAATATATTTAACGACGCTTCAGGTCATGTTACGGGTTACCCACCAGTCGGAGCAATTATAGAAGATGAAGCAGATGATGATTCAGATCATTTTGAAGAAGATGGCGTGCAAATTGATAGCATGCATGTGGCAGCTGGAATCGATGATGACGCCCGTTGGATGGAGCAATTTAACGTTAACAATGATTATGTGGAAGCTGAAGATCCGTTGCCCGACGAGTTTCATAATGAGGATTGGATAAATACTTCTCAAGCTGGATTTGTTGATGTTGGGCCAAATTTACAACGACCTGAGGACTTCACTTTTAAAAAAGGGGATCTATTCGAGAGCAAGGAGGCACTGATCTTTGCAATCCGAGAATGGTCCATCAAGAATCGGGTCAAATTCAAGCCGGTAAAAACTAATGCAACAAACTACAATGTGAAATGCTTCTTTAACGATAAGAATGAAGTAGAGAACGCAAATGAGCAAGATGAGAGAAATAAAAAATGTCCTTGGTTGCTAAATGCCGCTGTGAGAAAATCATCAAATGGGCAATTTGTAATATGTAGATATTGCGGACTTCACACATGTTGCAACCCGTCGGTGGATGTCGATGATTATTCTGCATCTTCTTCTTATATATGTAAGCTAATTATGCCTGAAGTTAGAGCTGAACTTGATCTGAATGCAGGTCAGATATTTCAGAGGGTATATGACATGCGGGGGATTAAGATATCTAAATATAAGGCATATGATGCAAGGAGGAAAGCGTTGTCTAAAATTTTTGGAGATTGGGAAAAATCATATGAATTACTTCCACAGTATCTTGAAGCTATCAAACGAAATAATCCGGGTACTGAATACGAAATATTATCCGAAGAGATTGCACCGGGTATGGAGAGGTTCACTCGCGTGTTTTGGGCATTTGGTCCTGCTATTAAGGGCTTCACTTTTTGTCGTCCGCTATTGAGCATTGATGGTACACATTTATATGGAAAGTACAAAGGCGTGCTTCTTGTAGCGACCGGTGTAGATGCAAATGGCGGGTTATTTCCTCTAGCATTTGCAGTCGTGGAGGTGGAGGATACGTCTAGTTGGAAGTGGTTTTTTGAACTTATATACAAGTGGATTCCAAGTGTCCGTGCGCCAAGAATAATTACCTTTATTTCGGATAGGATGAAAGGAATTATAAGGGCGTTACATGAGGGTTTTAGTGCACCACATCACCATCGATATTGTTTAAGGCATATAAGAGATAATTTCAAGAAAAAACACGGTGAGATTAATTTGCAAAATCTTTTGTGGCAAGCCGGGTGTGCGACCGACACATTAGTGTATGAACATTGCAGGGAGAAAATCAAGTCTTTGTCATTAGATGCACATAATTGGATTGAAAATAACTTGAAGCCTCAA